TTATTATATAGGAGTTATAATAAATATTTAATAGTTGATTTTATGGTGTGTATCATGTGGTGAAAAATTATATATTTTATAAATAATGAAAATGTGTATATTTCGTAGTGAGCAAAATATTATATTTTGTGGTATACAAAAATATTATATTTTGTGGTGAGAAAAATTATATCATTTATAATTTATATTATAAAATTTTGAGGTATTATTACAAAAATTATATTTTGGGAAAACTAAACTTTGGGAAGCAGACCCACGTGGGTTGCCTCCCCACTTTTTCCTTCCATCTTTTCATTTCCTTTCTTTATTCAATTCTTTTGGCTGGGAACAGAGAGCTCCGCCCCTCTCTCTCTCTCTCTCTCTCTCTCTCTCTCCTTCTCTCTTTTCTTTTCCATTGTTGGTTTAAGCTTAGAGTGGGAGTCTTTAGAGTGAGATTTTGCAAAAGTGTTGTAAATGAAAGTCAGAAAGCTCGTCGTGATCTTCGCAATGGTAGTCTCGGATTTATGATCGGGCAAGATTTGCCTTCCAGATCTACTATTCTTCATTATTTGAGGTAGCGACTTTCTTCATATTTTTACATTAAAACTATGCTATGGTTATTTTGAGAGAGTATGTCATTTTAAGAGGTATTGCATATATATACATATATATAAAATTTTCAGATTTTTGTTTAGTAATTTTTGGAAGAAAAATTATGATGAAATGTTAAAAATGTTGGCATTTTGAGATTGATTTTGGGAAAATCATTTTATGCTATTAATTTTGTAAAAAAAAATAATAAGAAAATAAAATTTAAAGGTTGTATGATTGTTTTTACATCATATTTGGATGAATTGGAATAAAAGTATTTATATTCATCTTGAGAAATTATATTGAAATGAGAAATAAGAATTTTGATCACAATGGGAATATTGTGTAGAAGTATTCAAAGTGGAAGAAATATTGCATTGTATTATTAATCATTGCATTGGCATATCAATTCATTTGATAATGATGAGCTTTGAAATTTGATTTGAAAACTTTGCATTGAGAAAGGAATGTTGGGAAACAAGTTTTCATGAAATGATTTTGGGGTAAATACGGTGGTAAGTCTTGAAAGGTGGTGTAGATGATAGGTGTCGAGTCTTCCAGTTAATACTAGCAAAAATGACAAATTGGTAGTACTTGTATAGTCTACTTGCAGACACCAGCCTAGGAATTACCTGAGTCGTATTTACCATCTTGGGATTTTATTGAAATTGTTGGATTAATGTGTTTTCAAAATGGCATTGTGCGTAAGATTTTCAAAAGATGAGAAAAATATTTTGAGCATGACATGGCATATGCATTCATCTCATACGACTGCATAAAATGGATTTGATGAATTGTTTAATTATTTGATTCAATTGATAATGAGATAATTGAATGAATTGAAAAGGATGTCCTGTTACTATTGAAACATGTTTATTTATTTAAGTTAACTTGTTGTGGTTAATTAAATAAATTGGATTTAAGAGATTATGTAATAAAATCATATGGTTATGACATGATATGATTTCACATATATGTATGAGCATTTTGGTACCCGCATATCTTCTAATGATTTAATATGAAATTGTTTGGTGAGCTAGTGGTTGCTTACCCATTGCCTGTACATGTAAACAAGGAATGTTTTTCGGATTTGAAGATCAAACAATGGGTTTTACCATTTCATAAGTGTAATGTAGTGATGGATTGTACTATTTCATTTGTTGTTTGGTTGAGTGCTATTTTTTTTTATAAAGAGTAGTGCCCTCTCTTTTATTGTAAACCTCAGGGCATTTCTTTTATTTGTATGTAAATGCCATTGTTGTATAACAAGATGAAATATGTATATTTAATTATTCATCATTTCATCCAAGGATGAAATGTTATTTATAAATGGACTTAATTAATGAATATCGGTAATGTTATCCGAGTAATAAAATATGAGGTGTGCCAACATGCCAGAGAAAATTACACACACACAACTTGAAGAAGAAACTCAAATAGGGAGTAGTAAGTAAATTTCAAAGAAAATTAATAGGCACAGAGGAATTTCAGAGAAATTTCATATCTCAAAGGGATTTTTTAATGTTAGAGAAATTGCAAAAAAAATCAAAATGCTAGAGAAATTTTATTTTTATAAATTTCTATAGCTATCGCACACAAATCTGGGAGTCTAATTTGGTCAGACAAATTTCAAATATCAAAGAAAATTTCGTGCGCGCACACACACACACAACTGCCAAAGTTATGTCATATATATTTTAGAGAATAAAAACCCAAGCCCAAAGCCCAAGAAATTAAGATACAACCCAAAGCATTTTTATTCGGCCAAGGCAAAGTTCCTAATAAAAGGCCCAAGTCCTTAGAAAATCCAGTTGCAAAGAAAACAAAGTCACGTGATAAGATATTTAAACAAGATAGCTTTTTGAAAAGAGATTCGTGATACGAAGGAAAACCTTTGGATCAATAGAAATCAACGATAGAGATCAAAACTGACAGAAGAAAGGAAATGAGATCAACCGACTCTAACAAACTAAGCATCCAATAAGAAAAATCCAACGATCAAAAATGTGAACCCATATCCGAACTAAATTTAGGGCGTCCAAAATACAGTAGCTCCGACAATAGCAGATCAAGACAACTGGACCACTTGCCGACCAACGCCTGAAGGCATAAAACACCATTGGATCGAGACAACTATCCAACGGTCAAGATACCAGGTGTCCACACTATAAAAGGGAAAAAGAAAATCATTTAAAGGCAGGTACAAAAAAGAGATTTTCTTTCAAAAAACAACAAACAATATGTTTGAAAGGTATTCTAACTTGATCGTCAGAGGGTCCTCCCGACCAACCATGGTCGGGAAAGATCACTGACGTCATAGCATTTGTCTTTTCCTGTAACGCCCTCAAAAAAAATAACATTAAACCCATCAAATACGACATGCATTGACATATTAAAATAACCACATTCTCTTATACATCAGAGTTCCATTACATAAGTATTACATGTTAGCACCAAAACAAAATGCCCTACGGGCTTACAGCTTTCCAAGTTAACACTTGGTTACAACAAAGAGTACTAACTCATACACATTAAGCCCTTGGCTTGTATTTACATGTAATACATCAAAAAGTGAAACGACAACATTATGTCCGCCTCAAGCCTCCCAAGCTATGTCCTTGGAGGTGGCATGCTTCCTGCACCTGAAAATGATATTCCCATATAGGGTGAGCCACAGCCCAGTAGAAATACACTAAACCAACCATGAATAATGACTAAAATATTAGCAATTGATAGATGGCCAACACTGGTACATTCACATAAATCACATATTTATGTCATACGACTAATGAGTCCAAGTCACTTTTCATTTTCCCTTTTTCAATAGATAAGCACATAAGCTATATCCACATTCTACAACAGATATGCATAACAACAATATCCACAGATAAGCATATAAGCTATATCCACATTCTACAACAGATATGTATATCAACAATATCCACAGATAAGCATATTAGTTGTATCCACACTTCGCTAGACAAGCATATGAGCTGTATCTACACTTCTCAAAGATAAGCATATGAGCTCTATCTTCACTTTACTAGACAAGCATATGAGCTGCGTCTACGGAGTTCATCCCCCATCTCCTCCCAATCCTATCCGGTTTAGAGGTACATCCCCCATCTTCCCCTAAACCGTGGAGTACATCCCCCATCTCCTCCTCTACACATAACGTATACAAACACAATGGTTCTATATACAATCAATCAATACATGCAATTAGGGTGTGTTTGATTGGACGGACTGGAAAAGGGGGGATTAGAATCCATCGGACTTGAGTCCTGGGACTGTGAATCCCCCGGACTATTTGGTCGGATTGGATATGTATCCTGTGTTTGTTTTTTCATGGGATTAGATGTCTGGATAGGACTATTTTCAGTGAATCCAACGTTTGGTTGGACGGACTGGATAGGATAAATGAACAAAAGACTATTTTACCCTTTTTCAATTGTTTACTATGTAATAGCAATATTAAACATATCTTTAATATTTTAATTATTTTTAGTAAACATTAAACATACTAATGGTTAAATTTTGTTTAAAGATATTTAAACATACTAATATTGATAAAAAAAATTAAAACACTATTCCATTAAAACAGGCCTTGTGATGGTAAGTAAGAAGCAAAGTTGTCCAATCATTTTTTTTTTTAGTAAATTACAAATATATTTTTTCAAATTTATTTTTTTTTGACGATGAAATCACCATATATTAATAAGCAGAATAACAGCATTACAAGTTATAATAATCATGAGTACAAATAAAACTAGAATAAACAAGCAACAACAAAAGAGTCCCCTAGCCTAGTCCAAAAGCTCGACGTCGAGGTGGCCTGAAAAGACTGGGATGAGAGTAGGAATCTTCAATCCGTGGCTCCCGCTTGCGTTTACCAGCAGTAATGTCAAAGATCAATTTAGAGGATTTAGGACAACGAGGTATGGAAGCACGAATTCTTTTTGACTGGCCTGCATAACAAAACATAAAATTATCAAACAATGAAGCTTTTCCAGTAGTCGGTGCTTGCTCCTCCATTTCACAATCACTAAGAATCGGGGAGGACGGTTGTAGAGTTGGCGAATTGGGTGGTGATGGTTGTAGTGTCTCTTCATAGGATTGGGAAGAAGTAGGTAGAATGTCCAGGTATGGGACCTCCATCTCAAAACGTATAATGACTTAATTTCAAATGGTAATGCTATAGGTACTAAAGCTACTATTAAAAAATTGACTAAACACGTATCTAAACACCATCATATTTAGGGATTGTTTATGATGTCCTAAATAAGTGTATTTTTTGACTTTTTATGAAATATGGGTTGGATTTGAAGTGATGTGGTAGAGAGGTGATGTGACTTAAATAAGATGATGTGACTTAATAGGATAGTGACTTTTTGACTTTTTAATTAGATGCCAAACTTAGTCTTAACTTTTTATATTGTAGTAAGGACAACTACTTCATCATTGGCTCTAGGTCTTTTCTTGTCTTTCTTTTTGGTAGAACCATCAGAAGGCCGTTGAGTTGCTAAGTTTGAATAGTCCATTGCTTCACCAGTCTGACTATTTAATCCCATTTGTTCCAAAAAAGTGTCATTATCTGCAAGGCCATGCAACAACACATCTTCCTCAGCATTCATAGCCTTAATTGCATCAACAGGCCCTTCATCAAACTCCCCTGTAGCTCGGTCCTTACCACATATTTGGATCCATTCATCGAAATATGGGAAAATTTTGTTTCTCAAGTGTTTTGCATCGGTGTCCCTCTGCAATGACCAACTAATCCCAGTTAATATAGGAAAGTGTATTTCAAAAGTAGTTACATAAACATGTAGCAATTAAAAAAAAATAATTGTCTACATCATGGTAACTTTACCCGAACATATGCCTCCCATACACTATCACTCTCCACATCGATTCTTTTTTCAGTGTCATTCCATCCAAACCCACTAGTAGCAAGCATACCGGACACAGAATTATAGTGCTTCTTCCATAATTTAATTTTTGATTCAATATGGGGACAACCACGTAAATCTGTCCTAGGTAATATATCCGCCAATTTAGTTTCCAGTCTAGCAAGATAGCCCGCCTTAAAAGCATTATCAACTTTCATTCCTTCATTAACAATGGACACCAATGCTGAAATTAGAGCATCCTCTTCACGTGAGCTCCAAATTCGCCTATGTTTTGACGAATCAACCTTGTCATTCTTTTTCTTACGAGAACTGGATACCTCATTATCCATGCCTAAAGTAATCATTCAACATTTCATATGCATTACAATAAATCATTAATAACTCATAAAATAAATTGTCAGCTATTAATAAAAATACATTTTTAACATCCACATTGTCATATATTAATAAAAATACCTCATCAAATAATTCAACATCCACATTGTCAAATATTAATAGAAATACATAGCAATGTCACATTAAAAATTTAAATGGTTTAATAACAAATCAAAGTAGAGCACAATAGTAATGAAAATAAACACTAAACTATTCTCATCCAGCCCCCCCACTAGCCAACCAATCATTGTACAATTGCATAGCAAGTGTATCCCGCCAAACAGTCCATTCATTAGATGTCTCAACAGTATCAATGAAATCATCTCCCATTGGCAGTTGATTTTCTTCGTCATCATCGTCATTCTCTATAGGGTCAACTGCCATCTCTCGTCGAATGAAATTGTGTAACAAGCAACATGCTGTGATAATACGATTTTGGGTTCTAATGGGGTAGTATGATACACTGCGAAGTATTGCCCATCTCATTTTCAACAATCCAAAAGACCTTTCTATGACATTCCTGGCTTGTGCATGTTTCATATTGAAATATTCTTGGTAATTACTTGGAGTTGCCCCTTCTCTCCAAATAGACACATGGTATCGCTGACCACGGTAAGGTGCTAAGAATCCTTGCCCATTTGTATAACCCGCATCCACTAGGTAGTAGTAACCTGTGTGTGGAATGTTATGCATTAAACTCAATTATTATACACGAACTTAGGAAGAATTAAGTATCATGAAATTACCATTTGGAATCCTTAGGCCATTAGGCCGATTGATCGCATCTCTTAAAACCCTAGAGTCGGCCGCTGACCCTTCCCACCCCGGCAACACATATATGAAATTCATTTGTTGGGAGCAAACTCCTAGAACATTAGTAGCAATATCTCCCTTTCTTGTCCTATATCTTGCTTGATGAATCAGGGGTACACGAACTCTGATATAGGTGCCATCAAGTGCTCCAAGACAATTCTAAACACACCAGTTGAATAGTTATTGTAATAGTTATGGGTTTTTTTTTTGGGTAAAATAGAGAACAAAAGAAAATCAAAAAAATAATGTAAAGTTACCAAATTTGTGGACAATGTATTTACCTGGAAGCAATTCCACCGTGGATCTGTGTTTGCTTCGGTAATAGGATTTGGTGTACTAAGTAAGTTGGCTTGCAAGCGTAGCACAGCCTTTAACACATCATTGACATATCGACTGACAGTCTGTCCAGATCTATAGAAATTGAACTTAACATTTCGTATTTTCAAATGTTGTGCCAAAATGAATAGGAAGAAGGCCACCTTCTCTTCTAAAGTGACATGTTTTGAAGGTCCTAACCCACCAATTGTATGAATCATATTGCACAAAGTCATAAAAGAACGACGATCCATACGGAGTTGTTCAATGCATGTTATGTCACTTTCTCTCACTAAACGGTTAATATGATCCATTTGTTCTTGCAATCAATTGGGCCCTCTAATAAGATTACGTGGATACCTAGATAAATACTTCTTCAAGATTACTTGAATGACAACAGAAGCTACAGTGCATAAGGCAAATAGCTCTTGCATTACAACTTGCAGTACTACGTACAATTCAAGCTCATCATTACTCTCATCGTCAAAGTCATTGATATTCTCATCCATCTATCAAAATAAATTATCATTCAAAAACCATTTAGAATTACAAATAATATAAAGAATGAAACATCTCTAGGCATATAGATAACATATAAGAATCTACTTTTCACTGAAAGAGAAGTTTTAAATATAGAAAAACGTGACAAACTTCAAAAAGTTATGTGCTTTGTATAATAGATATGTGTTTTTCAAGTACTGTTGCCAACATGGCCGGAAAATTTGGTTCAAGAGTGTCAAATGGAAGAATGGCAGGCACATAAGTATGGTGGGTTCAAATGGGCAGCCAATGGAACTTAAAGGAGGGAGTAAGTGCAGGGACTACTGTGTGCAGTTTTTCAGTTTACATTCTTTATTCTTTGATTGCTTTATGAAGTAGTAACTAGTGAACTCCTATAATGACAGTGGCAGGTAGTAATTATTTAGAGATTGAACAATTTTTATTAGAGTTCCATTAAGAATGGGCAGAGAAGCAAGTGAACAAAATTTTATGGGAAATTGAAACGACACACTAGTGGAATAACAAAGAACAACAATTTGACAAAACTCATCGAAACATGTTGAAACAATTAAGTTGTGTGGACATGAATCTAGAATTTTTCAAAATGTTTAAGATTAAATTTTTCATTATAGTTAAATTTTTCAAAATGTGACTCGTACATTTTGGGATTTTTTCTTTTTAACATTGATATACCTTGATATATTAGTTGAAATGAAATTATGAAAATCATAAACGTGTATAGACCGATTTTGATATGTATTAATATGTAGCCGATTCACATCGATTCAACAACCATAAAAGCTCTTTTTTGCATGATTTAAAAAAATTCATGATGGTAACAGCCAACCAATTCTCGATAAATATGCTCAACATTCTCACTATTGTTACATCACGATCGATAATATTATTTCTTTCGATATTATTATTTAAAATCATGGTCGAAAAAGAAAAGAAAAGAAAATTCTATCACAAACTGTTTTGACTATGGTACATACTAAAATCTCAAGAAATGGAATGATTTATTCATTATTTTATTTTATTAATGGCTTTAGGTCTCCATTGACCACTTTGAGGAAAACAAACACAAGTGTTCGTTGTTTGGCAAGCAAGTATTGTTTGAGCTTCAAGATTTTATTTCATTAATGACTTTAGGTCTCCATTGACCACTCAAACACCAATATTCTTTGTTTGGCAAGCAAGTATTGTTCAAGCTTCAAGAAAAGAAAGTCACCAAAAACAAACACCATAACTGTGTTTAAAAAAATAAATAGCATATTTTATAATCATACTTTTAATTTATCTTTATTAATGGTTGTAATTATTAGATTAATTTAACTTATTTTATAAAAAATATATATATATTTAATAGATTAAATTATCAAAATGGGTTAAGGAGGAGCATGGGGCTGCACTATAGCAGCCCTTGAGAAGCTCTGTTTTTTGTTAAATGAGTTCCAAGTGCTAACAATGGCAAGGCAACAAAGATTACAACAAAACATGACTTCACATACTTTGTTTTTTGTTAAATAATAAGTTCCAACTACTAATATTGGCAAGGCAACAAACTTGTATACAAACCCAGCACCATTAACAGCCATTAACAATTAACAATGAGCTGCGGCTGTTTTCTGAAGGCTAAAAAAAAAAATACAACAACAACAAATACAGACCCACAACCCACCAAAATAGGCATAACATAAACAAAATCCCTCAAATCTGGTTTGATGAAGAGAGAAAAAAAAAAAAAAAAAAAACTTGAAAGTAACAAAAAAAATAACTACAGAGAGAAAATAAAATTGAACCAAATCAGCCACAACAACAACCCAAATTGAACTAAAAAATATATACCAAACAAAATGGAAGATGTAGAAAGTGTTTTAAACCTGAGTGTAGATGATGAAATTGAGCCACAAAACAGGTGAATCGCCTCTAGGGTTTTGCCGTTTTGCCTCTTCGCAGTATGATCTGTGCTCTCACAATTACAGAGGACACAAAATATATATTATGAGGGCAAAATGGTCATCTCACCCCTCTAATCCAAACAGTGAATAATCCTACGGAGTTCATCCCCCATCTCCTCCCAATCCTATCCGGTTTAGAGGTACATCCCCCATCTTCCCCTAAACCGTGGAGTACATTCCCCATCTCCTCCTCTACACATAACGTATACAAACACAATGGTTCTATATACAATCAATCAATACATGCAATTAATGTATTTTATCAACCGTCAAGTTCCATGACACATTCCATTGATTAGTTTTAGTTTGCCTAATCATCATGCATTGTCTACAACAATCAACACTACCCTCCACCGGTAGTCCAAAGCAATTATTTCTAAGCAGGAAATAAATGCACAAATGGATAATATATCAACATTTTCAATTCCTCACTTCTTACAATTAATTATCCCAATTAATTAAACAATGTAATTAGGTCAATTTCCATAATTAACATTTCAACCCTTAGGTCCCATTTTCATCAATGATTTCAACATCTATTCCATTTCTCTATGCTAAACATGCATCTAGGTTTATTATGAAATAAACCCCAACTTTTGTAAAATTGCACAAAAGTCCCAAACTTTCACCAAACATTACCAAACCAAGCCCAACATCTCAAAATACCAAAATTTAAAGACAAAGTCCATAGAGAGGAGTAGGATATCCCTACCTCGAAGTTTAAGCCCAAAAGGAGATGAAGACTCGAAGATCAACTTGCTCCAAATCCAACCTTTTTCAGATTAAAACAAAGCTCTCAATGCCCTCTAACATTTTAACAAAGGCCCTAGGCTAGATTCACACTCTAGGGAGATCAAATCTTAGAGAGAGTGTAAGTTTAGAGAGAGAGGGTCTCGGATTTAGGGTTTGCAAGCAAAAGGAAGTGAAAAAGTGAAGTTTAAAATCGCTACTGTTCGCTGATATAAAACACGCTCGCTCGAGCGAATACTTGGTC